TACACAAAAGATACACATAGGCTCATGTCATACGTGCCTCGGTGTGCGGATCGGTACTTGTGTCAAAATTCAACTCACATATACAGATAAATCACTAACATTGTAAACTAGTGTCAGATAATCGAGGCGACCTCGAAAAGCAACTCAAATAGATCAAAAATCTGTAAAACACCTCATCAGTCGACTCATGTGTCAACTAGGATTGGTCGACTCATTGGTCGACCAGACAACACACAAAACTGAACACTTTCCCGTCAGTCGACTCATTAGTCGACTCATCAGTCGACTCATAAGTCGACTCATGAGTCGACTCATTGGTCGACTGAACAGAAAATCCCCAGTTTTCTGCTTATGATGATTATCTGTGAAAAATTAATAAAAAACTAAGGTTCTCTTTGTTCATGTCCAGCAATGTATATACAATTCTAACACATGTATATCAACAGAAAAGAAAGATTTGCATGTATTATTTTGCATTAAAACCCTAAACATATTTCTTCATGTTTAAAAACGTGTTGAAAGCATTAAATCACATGAAACCCATATTTAAGACTAATTCCAGATCTGGATCTATATTACAAAAACGTTGGTGAGCTTTTTACTAACTAAAAAATATAGATCTTGTAGCTTAGAATGTAAAGCATCTACTTTTATACACAAAATATGTTTTAGGCTCAAAAATCCGAAATAAAAACTCATAGAAACTATACAAACAGTGGGTGAGGGTTGGGCGAGATGTTACTCGCCTCTGATATGCTAGAACAACCCCAGAATCCGAGAGAGAAAGATCCCCTTCGCTGCACCTCGCCAAAACCCGCTGAAATCCTCCGAAAAATTCCCTAAAAATTCACCAAAACGAGCTAGGGTTTGAGAGGATAGAGGGGGCTAGGGTTTTCTCTGGGGTCTGATGAGTTATGGGGTTGGTTTTGGGTAGGAGAGTTTATATGTAAGCGGTCAAACCCGAAACAAACCAAACCAAACCCGCAAAAGAAAAGAAAAACATGAAGTCAGCCCGTCAGTCGACTCATTGGTCGACTCATCAGTCGACTCATTAGTTGACTCATGAGTCGACTCATGAGTCGACTCATAAGTCGACTGAGCAGATATAAAATTTCAGATTCATGCATGTTTTGTTATTTAGCCAAAACCAATGCACGAAATTCTATGAAACCACAATCATACATGCCTAATAACTTGTTACCAAGTATCTCCATGACCTCAAGTCATTTACGACAAATAGAATTATTTATCACTAATAATTCACATATATTTCTAACAAAATATGAGGTTTTACACTCGGCCCAAGGCCGAGCCACCATTTGGTGGCCCGGCCAGGCCGAGCCACCGGGCGACGCTTCGGCCAGATTTGATCCCGTTTCGGTTTTGACGGTTTTTCTTGGGGTTTGTTCGTTCCTGGGCATCCTAACTGATCTGATACTGTGGTTATTCAGTTCTTAACTGAAGATAAGGAAGAATCCCTCGTTCTTATCCAAATACCCGCTTCCGAAGCTTATAAATACGAGCTTGGGTGCTCATTTCTCCAGGCTGGAAATCAAGAGGGCGAAACGCTGCCGAATTGAAGAGTGGAGCCACGAATTTACAGCAAGGGTTAGCAGATCTTGGCGATCTCCTGTGCATAAAGAGTGGAGTTCGAGAGATCTGAGACACGTCCCCTATTCCTCCGGATTTAAGCTTAGTCTTAAATCTCGAGAAGAGCTGTGATCTCGCTTGGTTGAGATCATCGCTGCAGTGATTACTTCCTTCGTGAAGTAAGAGCTTTGATCATCAATCTGTCAACCGGATCTGATCCGTAACGGTCCACGGATATTAACGTCCCCGGCACAGGTAAAGATCCCACACAAACAGCGAGTGATAAACGTGCGTTGCGTTGTTTGACAAGAGTCGTATCTTTTGTATTTTCATTGTATAAGGAGATCTTATAAAAAGAACAACTTTTTATTTGAGTTTATTGTAAACGATTAAAGTTGTAATAGATTCAATCACAATGAAAACAGCAATTTTTGACCCAAACAGCTACAAAATATAAATAAAAGAAACTAAATTCTACAAAGCATGAAAAATAAATTATAAAATAATAAAAGAGCATGAAAATAAATCTAGACTACAAGACATGAAATAAATCTAATCTACCAACTTAAAAAATAGAAGAAAATAAAATCCTAAAATATGAATTTCTAAAATAAAAAATAAAAGAGGAAAATAAAAACTTACATTGTAAGGGGTTGACTTTTTGAAAGTAATTTTCATCTTCATCTTCATTAACAAAGAAGAAGAAGCAATTTAAAAAAAGGAAAAAATGTATTTATTGCAAATTGAAGTTTATTATTTTTAGAAGGTCTTCTCAATTAAGATTGGTCCTCCACTTTAAAATAGAGTTTTTTAATAATATTTTTTCACTGTCTCAAACCCTCACTCTACTCCTCAATTTGTAGATATATAACAAGCATCTTTTATAACCCTTAAGTTTATCTTGACCCTCAAGTAACTCTCACAACCATAGAATTTGGTTTTAGGTCCCAAGTAACCCTTACAACTATAGGATCTCTCAAAATAATCTGCAACATTGATTCAATAGTTGAGAGATGAGCTTTATAGGCTTCATTTCTCTTGCATTTAATTCATTTAAAACTCTTGAGCTTCTCTTGAATACTCTTGGGCTTCTTAGGATTTAGTTCAAATAAATAAATACACACACACACACAAAATACACACATATAAATTAATTTTGGATTTCTATCAAAACCTACATATTGATAAAATTTGTAAAATCTATCAATCTAAATGACTCTGTCTCATTTAGATAGGTAATTTTTATATAAAATATGTTAAATTTTACTTTTTAAATTAGAAGATATTGCCTTTTCTTTGCGATTGACCATCTTGAACACAAATTTGACTTTGTTTCTTTTCAGATTTGATTTGATTCTTAATTATAGGCCAAGTTATTAATAATTATTGACCAAAAAAGTAATGAGTGCTGAGATTTTACTTATAAACTTAGTCATGGACTTTAGATTTAGGTATTCTGGGCTTCATTAGAGATCTTTTGGGCTCGAAATAATTTTCATTTGAGCTCTTATTCAATAATTCTTTATTATCAACAAATTAAGATAAAAATATTATCATTAAATATATTTATTCAAATAAAATAGATAATCTAGGTACAAAAGTGCAATAAAATATAATGATCACCTATATTCCTTGAGTTAATTTTTTGGCAAACAACCACCATAAGTTTTTTTTGACAAATAAATACTAAAATTAGCATGCTAATACAATTATGCAAATGTGAAACTTTCACCTTAATGTTCTCATAAGACGGTAAATTTTATTACTTTTAAATTATTAATGTTTATTAAATTTATCATTAAACTTATCTCAACTATATTTTAGAGTAAAATTAAGATACGTTTAAAAAAGAAATTTGGTAGATTTAATAGCAAATTTAATAAATATTAATAGTTAAAATGCTCTAAAATTAACATGCAAGTTTCATGAGGAAACATTTAGATGAAAATTTTCACGTTTGTATGATCGAGAGTACCAATGTGCCAATTATAGATAATTGATGACTGAGAGTACTAATTTGCCACAAACAACAATTCATGGTATATACGTCAAAAACATGCGAACTTATGCTATTTAAATGCTATTTAGCCATAAGGGGAAAAAAAAAAAGCTTTCAGCTTATGTTATCGCCTTTCAAAAAAAGGAGCAGTAGTCCCAAAAAAATTATGTACAATTCAGTTTTTGGAAGCAAGAAACCAAACCAAATCAATCCGTGTAAGCACATAGATAACGCTTGTAATTCTTATGATTGAATCGCCATCTTATTAACTATTACGTTTTTATTTGACGCAACATGTTAGAGATAAAGCTCGTATGACATCCTATTTTTTATATTTAGCAGTGGTCACCATAGATTTGTGATTACTATATTATACGCAAGTATATTATGCCATCCTATTAGTTATGTTTAGCAGCGGTCCCCCGTCCCATAGATTTTTGTTTACTATATTATATATGCACAAGTGTATTATGCCTGCACGTATTGTTTTGATTTCTTTGGTCTACATATATTGGTTTGTACCTTTTTTAAATACATTAAGCTTTCATAGTGTAATAAGAGAAAGGATTAATTATATTTTTTTATAGACTGTAATTTATAGATTATCTATTAACTAATATATTAATATTAATTGCTTACAAAAGGAATAGACAATGAGCACCAATTTTGCTATGTTATGAGAGAATAGAGTTTTTCCTTATCAGTGTAAGTTGATAGTTTAAGTGGTAGAATTAATTTTAAAAAAAGATTGGTATAGTTTTAGTATTCGAGTTTACTAACGAATAGAATTTAACCAGATGTATATACGATTTGTCCATCAAATATTCGTTTAAAATTTGATCATTTATTATTTGTATTATTACACATATGATGTCATATTTTTAACTCACTTATCATTTTTACTTAAGTTTTATGAACTAATTTTAAGACTTAAATAATCTTAAATATATTTTCCAATAAAAAATTTGATTTAAATATATATACTATGAATGAATAATTTTCATTATGAATTCAAATACTATTTGAAAATCAAATTTTTTAGTGAAATAAATATACTTTGATATTAGGTAAGTATTCATGAATATTCATGAATATTTATTAAATATCAAGTATTCGAGTTTGAATTCGAAAAACTCCGTATATGAATATTAGATTACGCATTCGAATTCAATAATGTTAAACAAATACAAATACGAACACCTTAGTATTCGATTCGATCGTTTACCACCCGTAATCTCCATATGCATCTTTACAATAAAAGAGTGCTGCTAACTGCAAAAGATAAAATTAAGCCATCTTTTCTTTCGCAGTTTGATAATTTTGAGCAGACTAATCACCCCCTTGCACAAACAGAGTCCATCCTCTGCAATACTTCAGATTTTGATAATATTCTCCCATGATAACTTTTTTGAATAACTATTTCTCCCATTATATCATTTCATAAAAGACTGAAAAAGTCATGAGAAAGTCTAGTGCCAATCTTCAATAACCTATATTACATATATAAATAAGATTCGCAAAGCATAAGAACATTTACAAAAGGATAAGAACATTTACAAAAGGATTGACATGATCAAACCAATCCACCAAAATCAACATCCAGATGACCAAAGCAGTTGCCAAAAAACCAATATGCAACATTTGACATTGTCATCTCTTCGATCATCCAGCTGCCGTCTAAGCCCCCTACTCTGCAACAAACCGAAAAAGAAAAGACTTATCTGAAGAGCATCTTAAGCTCCTCAAGACGAGCGGTCCTGACTTCATCATCAGTGAGAGCACCTGCAATCATTCGCTGCTGCTTCACCTGCACCTGCTGCATCCTCTCCTCCACTGTGTCCTGTATGACGAAACAATACTTCAGGTTTAGCTCAAGAAGCGTCAATCAACCAAAGAAGGATCAAAACTAACTGGAATTCTTGAATTTTAACTTCACCTTAACAATGAACCTCCTCACTATGACCTTCCTTTTCTGCCTAATTCGATGAATCCTCATGATCGCTTTCTCTTCTACTGCAGGATTCCACCAAGGATCCTATAGTTTGCAACAGGAAACATAAAATCAGAGAAAGAAATTTATCAATGTTTACATATTTTTAAGTGGTTTTGTGAAAAATTACCAACAGAAAGACATTGGAAGCAAGCAGCAGTCAGATTTAATCCTACACCTCCAGCCTTCAGTGACATTAACAAGACCTGACAATTTCAAAAACATGAGACGCAAACTCACAAATAGAAGCATAAATTTGTTTAATTGTGAAGAAAATGTTATTAATTACCGTCTTATCTCTGGTCTCATTGAACTCCTTCAAGACCCTTTCCCTATTCTTCTGATTCAGCTTTCCATCAAACCTTAAGTATCCGATATTTTTCTTACGAAGAGGAATCTCGAGCAAATTCTGATTCAGCTTTCCATCAAACCTTAAGTATCCGATATTTTTCTTACGAAGAGGAATCTCGAGCAAAACCAAGAATGAAGTCCATTGGCTAAACACAATGCTCTTTTCACCTGAACCTGATCTCTTAATGCTCTCTATGCACTTAAGGAGCTCAGCGACCTTTGAAGAATCCTTCCAGTTCTCATGTGCATCAACCTGAAAATTATTCTCGTAAAGGAGCTCAGCGACCTTTGAAGAATCCTTCCAGTTCTCATGTGCATCAACCTGAAAATTATTCTCGTACGGGCATGTAATAAGGCTAGCTTCAGTCAGAGCCTTGCGGAAAATTGGGCATGGCCCACCAGCTGGACTCGACCAACTAGCAAGAAGGCACTCTCTGCACATTCTATGTGCACATGGAGTGAGCACTGGATCATCTGATGCTGATTCAAGGCAAATTGGGCATTCTGTTACATCCCCTCGACGAAGTCCATCAATTACTTCTTCTACATATGCTTTGCTGGGGGCTGAGTTTGATTCATGTAGAAAATGACGGGCTAGTTTGTTGAGATCTGCATACTTTTGATTTCCCTTTTGACTGCAAATGAGAGAGAAACAAATTAGCCTTTAGTTTAGTCTCATACTGGAAGGAATTCTAGTTTCTTTCTTACCTGACAACTAGGAAAGGGTGGTTGCAGCATTGCCTCAATTTAAGAAACTCTAGTATGGAAGCGTAGTTGTGAAGAACTTTTCCTTGTGCAACCAATTGATCAAACTTGACCTATGGTGTTTCAACCATGTAAGGACAAGTGAATAATATATACAAGCCACATAATTTACTTTAATTTGATTGAGAAATGTGATGCAATCTAACCTTTGATTTCCTGAAAAGAGCATCATAGAAAACACGCTCAGCTTCTGATTGTTCACATTCCACAATCTGTACAGTGGCAGGAGGCAGAACGAGAATGGGCCTGCACAAAAGAGAATCAGAAGGTTGAAGCAAAGTGAAATGTTTTTTAATGGTAGTAAGGAGAGGAGAAAATCAACTTGCCTTCCATTTGTATCCTTTGTGTCCTTCGTTCTTCTAAGCATCAGTGATCTTAGAATACCTCTAACCAATCTTAACCCTTTTTCATCACCTTTCTCATAAGGCCCTTGAATCAGTTTCTGCCACCTAAAGAGATAAAGAAAGTAGGGAATGGCTGTAAATGCAAAATCACTAACCAATAAAAACTATTAATACACCGTCAAACATTCATTCTAATTAAGTGAGCTACTTTTAAGACATAACTCCATAATTAAGCAACTAAAAATTATTAACCATATACGAAACATATAAAACATGCAAGCATCTATTGATACTTAAATATTGAGGATTAGCTCACCCTATTTTATTATTAATATTATAGAAATTAACTCATTTTTAATTACATAGAAAGCAAAATGGAGTAGCAGTAGATTTTATTTTTGACGTTTTACGAAGAAACACGATATATTTTCAAATGTTGCTGCACTTACAATGCCCAATTACACCATGGCTGGACCTTTAAGAAACAAAGGAGGCTGTAGAGATCTTCCAAATTATTCTGCAACAACAACAAAAACATGAAAGAAAATCACAGCTAGTTGGTTTAAGTAATATAATCTTCAAGTATTAAGAGATCTCATAGGCATATCAGCCCAAATTATTGACCCACCTCTTAGATACAAGCATAGCAGTAGTGTGTAAATCAGAACGTCATATGATAGAGGGAAAAAAGTTATTACGGACCTGAAGAGGAGTACCAGTAAGACACCAACGGCAGTATGCAGTTAGAGCAAAGGCTGATTGGGCTACTTGAGCTTTTGAAGATTTGATGGTGTGTGCTTCATCTAGTACCACTCTGTACCAATTAATTCTGTGAAATATGCTCGGCTTTGAATTTGAATTCTGGATAGAAGACAACTTTGTCATTCATGGCTAAAACTGCATATAGATTAGAAGTAGATAAAAAAGAATGTCAATAATCCTTACAGATTTAAAAGATGATTGTAGAACCCCATATGTTGTTAATACGACATCATAAATGGCAATTTCTCTGGGATCATTTGTTCTGTCACAACCATAGTGAATGAATACAGAAATTGAACCATGCCGTGAATGGGTCTCTAGCTCATCCTGGAATAATAATTGAACTGGATGCTTCAGTGATTTAAAAAGAAAAAGAACAGGATACAGTTTTCCAAGACTAATACTAGAAGTAAACTAGGACTTTGAAAGTACTGTTAAAATAATAGATAAGAGAAATTGAATTTGTTACAGAGGCATAATGTGTGACAGTTACCTTCCATTGGCCAAGTAATGCCATGGGACAAACAATTAGGGTTCCTCCCTTTACAAAATTTGATTCTTCCTCAGGATTCTCCATTTCTATATCATGGTTTCATGATCTTCCCCTTGGATTTGCAAGTATTAGAGAAATTTTCATGACAGTCTTTCCAAGCCCCATTGCATCTGCTAAAATCTGCAGAGTGGATAAGTCAAATGCAAAGCCAGAGCACAAAAAAATCTCAACTAAATTACAAGTTATGACAAAGAGCCTTGATAAAAAAACAGCATGGAGCACTATTGAACTTGTTTAAACGTTCAAATAAACATCTCAGATAGCATAAAAGTAAAGGTATCATTATGAATATCCTGCCTTAAACTGTCTGAATGTCCTATCTCAAACATTCTTCGCATGAGAAGGTGTAGGCTCACATGTAGTATGTATAAAATTTGATTCAAATTGCTCTATCATTGGTTTGCAGCCATGATATCTATTGCATTTTGCCTTAAAGAAGCATGTGCATACATTATCGCAGTTGCATCTATCAAATTATTTGCCTCAGGAGTATGCAGAAGATGAAATAAGAATAGGTCACAATCTAGTGAACATTATTATATATGAATGGATTCATATGTTATTACTCCAGTTCTTCATGTACAGGCACCTATTAAAAGAACAAACTTAATACATACAAATGCATGTTCTTGCTCATGGATTTTGGAGAATTTTAAGCCTTGAGACCACACCTATTTAATTTCGAATACGATGATCTCTTGCTCATGGATTTTGGAGAATTTTAAGCCTTGAGACCACACCTATTTAATTTCGAATACGATGATCCAAGGTTTTAAATATCGGATGTCGGGTTTGTTAGAATTAGTTCTTGGGTTATCGGGTTAGGGCCCATTAACCCATTAGCCTATTACCTATATGTAACCCTATATATACCCATGGAGATGAATGAAATGGTTAAGCCCTCTGATTTTCTCACTATCTAACATGGTATCAGAGCAAACGACAGCGGCGGCTAGTATGCGATCTCCGATGACGTCGGCGAGCGTGGAAGAAGAGCAGCAGCTGAGATCGAAGCCTTCGTCGCTTGTTTTTTTTTTTTTTTTTTTTTTTTTTTTTTTTTTTTTTTTTTTTTTTTTTTTTTGCGGCTAGGGTTTTTGGAGGCAGTGAGGTTCGGGTTTTTAACCTTCGGGTTCCTCAAAACTAACCTTCGGGTTTTTTTAACCTCAGGGGGAGAATATTGTCTGTAAGCTTAAAAAGGCAATTTATGGTCTCAAACAGAGTCCACGGGCATGGTTTGAGAAATTTAGTACTGCTATATCTGGTGTCGGTTTCAAACGATGTCAGTCTGATCACTCCGTCTTTATCCGGCGTACTACATCTGGTCTGGTGGTTCTGGCAGTATATGTTGATGACATCCTGCTAACTGAGAGTGACCTTGTTGCCATAGGAGAGACTAAGGAGTACCTTTCACGTCACTTTGTGACCAAAGATATGGGGAAACCCAAATACTTTCTTGGCATTGAGATTGCATATCAAAAGGACCGTTTACTTCTATCTCAAAGGAAATATGTATTGGACCTATTAGAAGAAATGGGCCTTTTGGGATGTAAGCCAGCAAACACTCCCATGGAAGTGAATGTAGACTTGTGGCGTGATAATAGTCCTCTCCTAAATAATGCGGGCCGATATAGGAGATTGATTGGCAAGTTGATCTATCTTACTGTGACCAGACCTGATATTACCTTTGCAGTGGGAGTATTGAGCAGGTTTATGCATATACCTAGAGAGGTTCACTGGACTGCTGCTCTAAGAATTTTGGCTTATGTTAAAAGCTGTCCGGGAAAAGGATTACTGTATAAGAAACAGCTATGGCTCATACTGTTTGTGAGATGATATGGCTACAGAAGCTGCTGACCGAGCTTGGCTTTTCGCAGCCTGGATCTATGCCTATGCATTGTGATAATCAATCTGCTATCCACATTGCAAAGAATCCAGTGTTTCATGAGAGAACTAAGCACATTGAAGTTGATTGTAATTTTGTTAGAGATGCTTGGGAAAAGAAAGTGATATCTCTTCAGTTCACTCCGTCTTCAGAACAGTTAGCTGACATTCTCACTAAAGCTACTTCACCTAATGTGTTTTCCATTCTATGTAACAAGCTGGGCATGATTGATATATATGCTCCAGCTTGAGGGGGAGTGTTAGAATTAGTTCTTGGGTTATCGGGTTAGGGCCCATTAACCCATTAGCCTATTACCTATATGTAACCCTATATATACCCATGGAGATGAATGAAATGGTTAAGCCCTCTGATTTTCTCACTATCTAACAGGGTTCATGTCGGATGGCTGAAATTCATATCGGATAGCAAAAATCGGGGATATATCGGGGGACATTGACTAAATATCGGATTGCTATATCGGGTGGTGCGCATATGTATAATATCATGTCCTAAATGTAACCTAAGCATTCATAAATTCAATATAAGCGTACTTTATAAATTCTATAGACTAAACATATAAAAAAGTAAATAATATATGGATTTAGGTTCATAAACTCTTTCTATCGGGTTCATAAGAAACCCTTAAATATGAGAACGGGTCAAACGAGTTTGAGTATTTATCACTAAACCCAAACCCCATAACAAAAAACAGATCTTAAAAAAAGTACCATATCGGTCGATTTTTCAAAGCAAATAGGCCGATATGCCCAATATAACCCTAATATTTCCGATTTGGCCCTGAAAACCGACATACGAGTTGAAAATGTCCATGTCGTATCGGTCAAGCCCTCAAACCGATATGTCGGCCGACATGTCGGACATGTCGGGCGACATTTAAAATCTTGCGATGATCATAGCTTCAGTTTCCAATGTGCATATACTTACACTATCAACTGATACAAGTACATGCATATATGGGGAAGGGCACCCCAGGAGATTGGTCAATTCTTATATTGACCAATTATATTGTAGCATGTGTATTTAATATTTTGCAGTATGAACAATCTTTCTTCTCATATTAGATCTTAATATCAAATAATCTCTGTAGTAGAGGGAGTGTATCTCATTTATGCACATGAGAAGAACTATTGCTGATATTCATGATAGTAAAAACCAAAATATATATGCACTAATCATTAATATTTCATTTACATGAACTATTTATGAGCTATAAAAAATATAAAGCAAATAACTCAGCAGTATATTGTGCCCCTCCCCCACTTTTTTTCCTAATAGGCCAAAACCTATCATATTTTCAAAACAAGGGCCTCACATTTCAGTGTGCAAATTAAAATGTGCAAGGGAAAGAATGTTTACCCCTCCTCGTGCCATCTGAGTTGCACTAGGAAAATCAGCTATAGCTTCTCCAGAGAAAATATTCACATATATAGTTGATGCTCTCCTGGTCAAGACAAGATTGAATAGATCACGAACAAGTAACCACATAACAACAAAATTATTAATTTTGATAACAAAATTAAATTAAGAAATATTTCTTCTTACGTATCACAAATATTGTACTCTGCCCAACAAGGATGAAGTGTCTTTTCTGCTTGCTGCCCCTTCTCTAGTTTTGACATCCAATAGAGGGCTTGTTTTTAGTATGGCCACAAACTACAGAGGAGTGTGCTTGGAGGTTCTGCCTCTTGTCAATTTCAACAAGAAAATTGCCATTAGCACAAAAATCCATAGTAAGTCGAAAAATGCTGAGGACAGCAAGTCCAGAAAAGCGTTATGATGACCTCTAAGTCATAAAACTCTGCAGTGCCGACAAGTTTATTCAAAGAGGCCTCAGAGATCGCTTGTTCATCTTCATCCTGTTCAGCATAAGTAGTGCCTGTTTTTCGCCGTTTTGCAAGACCCACAATTTGGGATTCACCATCACCCTGTTCAATTGCATTCAAGAAAAAATAAGGGACGAGCTATTTAATTAAGATAGGCTACACAGAAGAAACATAATGGGATAACAATCAAAATCCTGATGTTCTTACTCTTAAACTTAGAGTTCGCTTTCCGGAATCAAGATCCTCAGGAGTGAATTCTGCCTATATCAAATAAAATCAAAGCCACCATTTAAAACAATGACAAGAATTAACGCCGACAATAAATTCTAAGAGAAACTTTTAAGGGGAACCTTTTGAACTGGTTTCATCTTCATTAGTCTGAAGAGAGTTGGGAGGGGACAAACATTAGGATCTATCGGTGCAGAAGCTTCTAGCTTAAATGAAGATTTATCCCCTTCCGTAAAAATCGAACTATGAATGTATAAGCTGCAAAGTAACACATACAAGATACATATGATAATTACATCACATCAAGAAATTCAAACATCAGTAGAAGACAAAGCCAATCAAAATTACCTAACATATAACAAAAATCTTGCATCAATCTAAGTTCAGTTGTCGCAGTCACACACCGTCCCTTAACCTTAACCTTAGACGAATTCACAAGCGGAATGAGACACGTCGACCATTCTGGTGGAAGCTTACCAATCTAATAAAACCAAATGCACACATACCATTAATTTTAAAAAACCAACTAATATGAAGGAATAAAGACTTGCACATATATATAAGACTCGGTGACAAACCTCTCCAGCTCTCTTGGTAGAAAATCTTACAATCTCCGACGATGCAGCTGCAGCTTTCACCCTCACCCACCTTCTCCCATATTGCTTTTGAAAATCAGTCTTTGGAAAGGTAAAGTAAACAATCTCACCAGGATCAATCTTCTTCTTCCCTCGACAAGTCGATAACCCAGCTACATAAGTTCTCCCGATAAAAACCCAATTGCCCTCTTCAGGAAACTCGGCAAACTCAGCTGCATCAACCTCAGGCACCAATTGAATTCTTCAATCTGTTACCGTCTCCGGATTAAGATAAGGAGCACAATGACTCCTTGCTAAAACCTCCTCATACTCTTCTAAAGCCTCCTCCTTTGGAATAGCAACCCTATTAGAATCAGCCATCTCAACTTTTGTTCCTTGTTTTTTCTTGTTAAAAACAGTATTTGATTCTAAAAGACTCGAGTTATCACCAACTTCCTCTTCAAGATTGACTTCAGTGTCTTTTTCGACGATCTTAGGCTCAGTAGCTTTTATCGGGGGTTCAGACTCTACCTCTTTTTTAACGGGTTTTGGGTCTGCGATTAGCTCCGGCGAGTCGAGGAGGATGCCGACAGCGCGATCAGGGTTGTTTCCGGCGGCGGTTAGGGCTCCGATGATATTTGATTCGGGGATTTTGTCGCCGATTACTGATAGGATGGAGGCGATCTCTTCGGCGAGCAAGAATTTTTGGGTTGAGAGCTTCGGATTCCTCAAGTGATGGCGGCATTTTTTGAGAGGAATTGGAATTAGAGTTAAGAGATTTTAGAAGAGTAGAGGTCAGCCGACATAATTTCTGAGCTATATACAGAGAGAAGAAAAATAGTCCCACATCGGGCGCGAGAGAGCCGAGGGCAAGGCATTGGGGCTATAAGAAAGAGGCATGGTGGCTGCAAAGAGAGTATAAAGGGTCGGTTGGCTATGTATGCCACGCTCGCCCTCGACTGGTGAGTGCTGTATGGCTATCAAGACATATGGCCGACATAATTTGTGGGACTCAGCAGGGTTGGCTCGCTCGGCCGACCCTCTTTAACTAATTTTTAAGTTTTTTTACTAGTGTAGTATGCGTATTTTTAAGATGAATCAAACTATTGAGGCTTATTTTGAGAGGTTAGGATTTAAAGGGGATTTTGTTTTTGAGAGGTTAGGATTTAAAGGGGATTTTGTTTTCGCTCCAAATTAAGTAACAAAATGGAGTGCGGGTACTTGGTGAGGTATTTAGGATGGGTTGTGGGGGGGGGTGGGGGGGGCAGTAAAATATATCTCCTTTATATTTTCTTAAAAGTTTTTTAACATTTGTGCAGGGGAATTGTACGCGTGTGAGCTATATATGTAGAGACAGAGAAGAAAAATGGTCCCGCACCGGGTGCGAGAGAGCTGAGGGCAAGGGATTAGGGGTATAAGAAAGAGGCATGACCGAGAGTACTAATTTGCCACAAACAACAATTCATGGTATATACGTCAAAAACATGTGAACTTATGCTATTTAAATGCTATTTCGCCATAAGGAAAAAAAAACTTTCAGGGATTTTTTTTCTCCAAAAATAAAGATTTTATTCTCTGAAGCCCCAAAACATAAAATCCAATAGATTAAAATATATGAAGACCATAATACTCTTCTCTCTCTCTCTTTTTTATCATGATGTACTGAGATGATAGTTGAAATGATTGATGGGGATTATTTATTATTTTTATTTTTTTATTATTTTCGTTGTTGATGAGGGGAACTAATTGTTTGTATTGGGAGATTGTTAAAGTTACGGGTTAATTGTTAATGTTACGAGTTAATTGTTAAGGTTATAGGTCAATTGTTAAGGTTATGGATCCATTCTCTCTCTCTCTCTCTCTCTCTCTCTCTCTCTCTCTCTCTCTCTCTCTCTTTATCATGATGTTACTATGATGATGTTGAAATAATTGAAGGGGATTGTTATTTTATTATTTTTATTTTTTTATTATTTTCGTTGTTGATGAGGAAACTAATTATTTTTGTTTGTATTGGGAGATTGTTAAGGTTACGGGTTGGTTGTGAAAGTTACGGGTTAAATTGTTAAGGTTACGAGTTTAATTGTTAAGGTTGCGGATTTGTTGTTAATGTTACGGGTCGGTTGTTAAGGTTACGGGTTGGTTGTGAAGGTTACGGGTTTAATTGTTAAGGTTACGGGTTTAATTGTTAAGGTTTACGAGTTTAATTGTTAGGTTTACGGATTTGTTATTAAGGTTACGGGTTGGTTGTTAAGGTTATGGGTTGATTGTTAAGGTTACGGGTCGGTTGTTAAGGTTACAGGTTGGTTGTGAATGTTACACGTTAGGATATATATGTATATATATTTTGAGTGGAATGAATACTTTGGGTCACTTGGTCTAGTGGTAAAGTTTGGGAGTTTGGACAAGATGTTAGGGGTTAAAACCCCTATAGCCACAATATTTTTAGAATATTCGTTGTTAAGGATAATGGTTGATTGTGAATGTTACGGGTTGGTTGTTAAGGTTACGGGTTTGTTGTTAAGGATATGCGTTGGTTGTGAATGTTACGCTTTAGTTGTGAAGTTAACCTACACAACAAACTCGTAACCTTAACAACAAACCTGTAACCTTAACAACCAACTCGTAACCTTCACAACTAACCCGTAACCTTACCAACCAACTCGTAACCTTAACAACAAACCCGTAACTTTAACAATTAAATATATAACCTTAACAATTAAACTCGTAACCTTAACAATTAAACCCGTAACCTTCACAACCAACCTGAAACCTTAACAACCGACCCGTAACCTTAACAACCGACCTGTAACCTTAACAACTAATCCGTAACCTTAACAACAAATCCGTAACCTTAACAATTAAACCCGTAACATTAACAATTAAACCCGTAACTTTAACAATCTCCCAATACAAACAAAAACAATTAGTTTTCTCATCAACAACGAAAATAATAAAAAACTAAAATAATAAAATAACAATCCCCTTCAATCATTTCAACATAATCATAGTAACATCATGATAGAGAGAGAGAGAGAGAGAGAGAGAGAATGGATTCATAACCTTAACAATTGACTTGTAACATTAACAATTGACCCGTAACATTAACAATTAACCCGTAACTTTAACAATCTCCCAATACAAATAGTTAGTTCCCCTCATCAGCAACGAAAATAATAAAATAATCCTCATCAATCATTTTAACTATTATCTTAGTACATCATGATAAAAAGAGAGAGAGAGAAGGGTATTATGGTCTTCACATATTTTAATCTCTTGAGTTTTGTGTTTTGGGGGCTCAGAGAATAAAATCTTTATTTTGAGGGTAAAACACCTATTAACAAAGTCTTGCGGGTGAAGCATGGGGAAGCATGTTTTCTTGGGTTTTGACAGCTGGAAGTATTTTTCCCTATTAACTATTACGTTTTTATTTGACGCAACACGTTAGAGATGAAGCTCGTATGACATCCTATTTTTTATATTTAGCAGTGGTCCTCATAGATTTGTGATTACTATATTATACGCAAGTATATTATGCCATCCTATTAGTTATGTTTAGCAGTGGTCCCATAGATTTTTGTTTACTATATTATGCACAAGTGTATTACGCCTGCACGTATTGTTTTGATTTCTTTGATTTACATATATTGGTTTGTACACTTTTTAAATACATTAAGCTTTCATAGTGTAATAAAAGAAAGGATTACTTATATTTTTTTATAGACTGTAATTTATAGATTATCTATTAACTAATATATTAATATTAATTGCTTACAAAAGGAAGAGACAATGAGCACCAATTTTACTATGTTATGGGAGAATAGAGTTATTCCTTATGGCTGCGTTTGGCAAGAGGATAAATGGAGGGTTAAGTGGGTTTAACCCTTCATTAGCCTGCCAAACAGGAAAAAAAGAAGAAGGGTTAACAAACCCGCACGTGAGCGTTTTATCCCATTTAACCCGTCACAACACGGGATAACTATTCCTCGCGAGAAGGCGGAACAAGGCTTGTTCCGCCTTCTCACAGGAGGGTAGACGAAGGAATTATGAGGGCAGTTATTTCATCTGGATCTCGTGAGAGAAAATTTCCACTTACTTCTTTCCTTCTAAAATTTCCCCACTAAAATTCCCACCCTAAAATTTTCCCCCAATCACTAGCTTACAACCTCCGAAACCTCCACACCGAGCTCACCTTCGAGGTCTGCGGGGACCTCGACGACCTTACCCAATCTCCAGCCAGAGAAACCCCGCTAGTTGGCTCCCCCTGCAAAGACAAAGGTCTCTTCACTTGCTTAGATCAATTTCCTGATTAGTTTGTCGACTCATAGCGGTAAGCTCCTTCTCCTTTCTCGTTTCATTCTAGGTTTTTGATTATGAATTTCATGCTAGAGTTTGATTCTCTTTGCCCTTTTCTCACCAAGGTAAAAAAATTAAATCTTATTTGTCATCAAGTCGATAACTACTATTTTGCATGAATTCGATTTGGATCTGAAAATTATGTATTCATTCTAGAGATTAGTTCTTTTGATTTTTCTTTTTATGATTTTGGTGATCTGGATTTATTCCCTTTAAAGATTGCCAATATATTATCAATTGTTGGTGAGCGTATTGGAATTTGAGAGGGTTGGAGGTATAATTAGAAATTTTTATTTCTTGTTAGTACGAGACTTTTAATTAGAAGTACTATCTTATTTAATATGCCAATTGCTTGACTACTTTATTGAGAGAAAGATGAATAAAAATTGCTTGCATTGGAAATATATATTTAAAGATATTACTAGTTTCATTTTCTTTGAAATTTAAGTTTGTGGTTCTTCTTCTTATCTTTATGCTATTGATTTTATTCATTACTCGTCTTATTAAGTTTCAATGCTCTTCCATCATTTGTTATTTTCCTTAGGCATGTAGGTCTATGTAGGCATAGTAAGTTTGGCTACTCTCTCACTCATTGTATAGAATCTTCAAGTTTAGTTGGCGTTCCAAAGGTGTTTGTTATAATTTCTCACTAAGAACTTGGACCAAAATTACCTCATTTGATAATTTCATAGTTTTGCTTAATTATATTGATGCTTGTGCTTTTAGAATTTATATATCACATATATCAGACTAAGTTTAATGTTGGCTGTCAACTTATGAAGTTAAATTAAGATTATATAGATATTTTTCAGAGATTACAATAATGAACAATTACACCACTTGTTTCCTTAGTAGCAAACATTTTAGAAACTTATGAAGTTTATCATGTTCTGCCCAAC